CTGAACAGGAGTGGTCCAATGTTGACCGCGTCCATTAGGTGTTAACCTAAATGCTGCTTGCTTCAACAACTGACGCTCTGACTGACAATGGTTTTCCAGTCTGACTGCTCGTAACTGGAATTTTGAGTTATTTTGTTAGAGTACTATCCGCGGAACGACTGCCATATGTCTTAACTATAATAGAAAGTGACTATTTCAAGCTGAAATAGGGGAAGATAAGTAATAATGCAGCGAGAAGCACAATTTGAAACTTCGTGCAAGACGTTTAGCATAATGCTTTGAACAAGAAGTTTTCCTTTATAATATAGTTTGCTTGGCGCTTACTTCTGTTTTGCTAATTAGAAGTGATCGTAGTTGAAAATTCAGAGAGCCAAAAAACCCATTTCGGCTCTCTTGGATTGCAGGAAGCTCAGGAGTTACTATAACACTGACTAAGTATAAGATATGCTGATTACAAAGGCAAATCATGCCGTTTGATCTCTCCACGTATACCTGCTAGTCCTACAGTAAGGACTTACGTAACATATTGATATTTTATATCTGATCAGCTTATCAGTTAACCGCAGCATACTTTTTAATGAATCAGTAAGATTTGCGCTCGCAGCATGTACCCACTTAACCATAAAAGCTCATAGCGCGGGGAGTGCATTTGATTTCTGAGAACTTATCTCTGCAGGTAGTGTTAGAGCTACTTCAAGTTTCCATTAAGCTTTCAGTTACCTTTTTCAATTTTTCCTTCTTCAATTTGACTTGATCACTACTATGTAATTAGCAAAACCGAAATCAGGGATTAGGTGAGAGTATTTTGTAAAAAGAGGCTTTTTTTCCAACGATTTATTATCGCTTGCCGAAACTCCTAGCTTTCCAGAATTTCTGTTTGAAGAACAAAACGGACGAACTTATCCGACATTCTAATTTGAAAAGGTTTTAATTTTTTGGCAAATTTCTACACAATAAATCATTCGTGCTCTCAAAAATTCAAAAACTTCAAATGTCACTATTCTTGTTCAGCTTTCTACCTACGAATAAAACAAAGTTCTTTTATACTTACCTTTTTACCCATATCCACCGCAGCTCCTGCTTTCTCCTGAATTTTTGTTAGCTCATTTTCTTTGGAGTAATTTGTTTTGATATTTTGGCCTTAGGTTTTTCTATACCTCTCATGTGCTTACCTCGGTCTGAGCTGCTACAACACTTGGCGTTTCCCCTCTAGCGCTAGTTTGACCTTCACATGCTACTTGAGGAGCAAGTGCAAGAGAAGTGGAATCCTCGGTTGGAGCTGCAACCAGAGAAGGAGGCTGCATCATAGAACCTTCGCCTTGTTTAGGAGCAATTGCAATAGAAGTAGAGTCCTCCGTTGGTGCTGCAATCAAAGAAGGCGGTTGCCTCGTAGAGTCACCACCTTCGCCTCCTTTGGGTGCAATGGCGAGAGAGGTAGATTCCTGTGTTGGTTCGGGTGCTATGGAAGGAGGTTGCTGTTTCTCTTCTCCTCCTGGTGCTCCTTCCTTTGCGCTTTCTTGACTGCCTTTCTTTTTCTCCTCTGATTTCTATAATTGTCTACGTATTGGAGAAGTAAAAACTTTCTCTATGAATAAGGAACCTCTGCACTAGAAGATCGTCGTCGTTTGGGCCTGGAGTGCTTACGTCTTTCTCGTTCGCCCTGTAGAGATTAACAAAACGTGACTGAAGTAAGCGTAAATCGCTGCCATATCTAGATATCAATGCATTGCGCTGTACGCATTTGATCTAATAGACGTAGTATGGCCGTGATATAAGTAGCAGCATAAGATGTGGACCATTGCGAGTGTAATCTTCACCAACTTTTCTTACTATATTTAGTTAACTTGCATTTAGATCTTCTTTTAAACGAAACTGGGAGTTAAGTGCTAGTTAATGCAATAACTCCAAGTTTCGGTTTGATCACTACCACCAGACAAATATGGAAAGCTCTTTCGAAGATTGAAATTAGATAAATTCTTCTTTGTGAGCCCATTTCATGCCTTGAGCCGACTTGTCGCAGGATTACGGGCCCCCTTGCACTGAATAAGGGGCCAATCGTGACCGAAAGGTTTTGCGAGAGTCCGGCATATTAAAGCGCCGTGAAGCTTCATTCCTGCTTTGCTCGGGATAGCAACTCAGCATCTTCTCATGTGGAAATTTCTCAGTGGACATACTGACGTTGAAGAGCGCTTCTTTGAGTACCGATTTGGCATCTTTAGGAGCAATGTGATTGCTAGAACGATTGGGGTAGTCAATTACAAGGACTGCAAGCTTCATCATTCGTTGCAGTGGTGCGAAATGGAGACTAAAAGAGTTTATCATCACGGTCATTTTCAAAATTTCGCATAGTTCATTTCTTAGGTGGAATTTACATCTCCGCCGAAGAGTTCCATAGCAATATTGAGAACGGTATTAATTTCGTCATGTTTAGGCGAAGTCGCTGTTGTCGAAATCATATTGTTAATTTTCAGACCATTATCTTCTCATCCCCCATGATGGTCTACCGCCTCATCGTGGCGCGGGGTGACTCTGGGTGTCGAACTGCGAAGTACAGCTTAGGTTTATCCTCCAGCAGGTCCCAAGCTGAGAAGGAGTTCGACGTTTCCGGTTCCCCGGATGCCCAGCTAAGAGTAGGCCATGCCAGAA